GGGAGCGACCTACCCTGGCAGGAGGTGGGCAAGGAACTCATCTAGGGTGTTCTAACTGCCCGATCGCGCGCCACCTCTGATCTGCCCTGTGGCCGGCACTGCCCACCTCCGAGCTGGATCTCCTGACCCCAGCGCCTGACTCCGACCCCATCAGAAACCAGCTTTCCGACTCAGTCCCTGGCTGGCCCTGATGGCCTCGGGAGCTCCCAGAGGCAAGGCCCAGGGCAGCGGGCTTGGTGCTTGTAGAGCTTGACTCAGTGGACACTCAGAAAACATTTGTGGCCTCAGCCCTGTGCCCCATAAAGGGTGTCCCCCTGGCCCCAGCCTTACTGAGGATCAGGGAAAGTGAACGTGGTCGGCATAAAGGAGGTGAAGATCTGCAGTGGACCCAAACCCCACCAGGCGGGACAGGCGCACGGCTACTCACATCATCCACACACCAGCCGCGATGTTCAGAGGGTGGATGGTGATGCAGCTGAAGAGGCCGGAGATGGCGCAGGCTTGAAAGCAAGAGACAAGGGCAGGAATTAGCAGGGAGGACGGGACAGAGCCTGCTGGGAGGGCCGCCTGGGCTGGGGAAACAGTGTAAAATCATGAGACTCCTTCCTCACAGCACCTAGAAGCCTCCCCTCTGCCATCCGAGACAAGTCAGGCCCAGGCAGCCACTGCACGTCACAGGTGGGGACGCAGGAGTTTGCCCCAAGCCCCACAGCACGGGTGCGGCAGGTTCTCGGAGCTTGGTGAGGCTGTGAGGGCAACTCATCCCCCCTCTTCTGGGTCTTGGGGGAGCCTGCCCTCTGATCCCCGGCTGCACCAGTACCCGCGTGACAAGGTGGTTCTGATGAGAAAGAGAATGTCTCTCGAGGCCTCAAGCCAGGGCAGGCGCCCCCATTCACAGGGCTGGCCACCGACGCGGGCCTCTGGCTTGGAAAATGCGGGCTGGATTTGCCTGAGACGAGGGCTGCGCCTCTCGTCCAGATATCAGGACCAGGCAGGCCCGGGTCACAGTCCAGCTGTGACTCAGACACTAGTCGAGTGGCTTTGGGTGGGTATGTTCTCTGCACCTTTTAAGCCTGCTTTCTCTCCTGCATGCAGAGAAGTCCATGGCTTAGTCCCCCACCCCTGAAACACCAAGGCGCCATGGCGGGGAGGGGTACGTCCTCTGCTGCCCCTGAAAGTGGCTTCTCCAATGCCCCAAATGTGAAGATTCGCCTGCCCCTCCCAACTGCATCCTACGGGCAAGGTCTGCGACACTCGCCTCCAGTCCAGGCTCATCAAGGACACCGGGAGCCTGCCCAGCAGGTCCAGGGCCCAGCCCAGCCACAGCCGGGCCCGGCAGGAAGCGGCCCGCCGAGGCAGCGATCAGCCACCAGCTCATGAAACTTGCAGCAGCTGCCGCGCACCCGATCCCCGGCCCCGCCTGGAACTTTCCTGCTTTCCCGTGTAACCCTAGGCAGATCGCAGGCCACGGCGGGGGCGGGACCCAGGTGAAGTGAGTCGGAACCGCAATGGGACTGCCCTGGTAAGCCCCCCATGTCTCCCCCAACGACAGGTGTAATTTTCCTGGGCGTGTCACGTTCCCATACAGGCAGCCAGGTTCCGCAGGGCCACAGACGCTCAGTGTCCACGAGACAGTGCTGCTTCCGCCTGCCTGCTACCTGTGCCAGTCTCACCTGGCAGCGGCCTACCCTTCCCCCTGCCGCCAGCTCCGACCCCACCCCCACTGTGTTACCCACGGCCAACCTTGTGGGAGGACCAGGCTTCAACCCAGCCAGGAGTCTCTTATCACTCAAGGGCTGGAGATGTCCCCTCAGAGTCTCCGATACTGCAGCTGAGGGAGGGAGGTGTCCTGAGAAGTCCTCTCTTCCTGAGCTACTGTCACCGAGTTTTGTCAGGACCCAGAATGACCGCCTCCTCTGAGGGACCAGCCAGAAGCACGACCTTCATCTGAACTCCGGCTTCACCCCTAAAATCCCTGCGTGTTCTGCACTGTATCCTGGAGTGTCCAAGCCCGCGTTGTCAACCCTGGACAACGCAGGCTTAGGCAAGCTGACCCCCCGGCGACCGAAAATCTGAGTATAACTTTGGACTCCCCCAAAAATTTACAGACGTCCCGCGGCATTCGCCTGGGATTGGTTCCAGGACCACTGTGGGTACCGAAATCTGCGGATGCTCGAGTCCCTTCTACAAAGCAGCATGGACCCACGCAGTCAGCCCTCTGCATCCGCGGATTCCCGACCGTGCATCGAAAACTGTTTTCAGTCACGGTTGGCTGAATCCGCAGATGCGAAACCCGGGGACACGAAGGGCCGTCTGTTTTTTGAAAAACATCCACAAACGAGCACAGTGCAAACCTGTGTTGTTCAAGAGTCAACTGCATTTGGTGTTCACATAACCACCACCTCCGCCCACCAAGCCTGCAGGGGAGACTGACCAGCACCTCAGGGCGAAGACACAAGTTTCTCCTGACCTTCACTGTAGCCCAACAGGATGAGCTCCTGAGGTGGCCCAGGTACCCCACTTCCGAGAAGCACAGAACTGGACGGCATGACAGGGTTACTCAGGGAGTCGGCAAGGTGGCTGACTCCCAGACGGAGGGCGGGAGAGGGCTCACAGGTCGCAGTCAGGACCTCCCCACTGTCCCCACCGACCGCTGTCACTCCCCACAGCACCCCCACTCAGATCTGCCAGGAAACAGTAATCCAACTTGAGAGGATCGTATCTAAAGCCCGCCCTCAAGCCCACCCATCTCTCCAACAAAGTCAAAAACGTGCTTGCTCTGAAGGCAGTGACAGGGACGGGGCCTTTCTGTGACCTGGGGGAGGGCCTGTCCCACTGCCACCTCTGGGTAAGGGCGTGCCCTGACAGAGCAGCACCGTCCTAACCCTGCACTCCTGAACTTCCTACCCCCTCCCACCTGGGAGGACAGTGGGGCTGGAAGGCGACCCTGAAAACGTGTTCCTCCTGGCAGATCTGACCAGGGTGCCCTGCCTGGCCTCAGCCCTCTGTGCCAGGCAGGCACTGTTCAAATCCTGCAGGACTTCCTGGCCGTTCCCTAAGACCTCGGCCGTGCCCTCTCCCACTCCTGCGGTCCATCCACAATGTTGAGGGCCGCGGAAAAGAGAGAGCGGACCATTCAAGTCAAGTCAGGTTTCGTTTGGCAGACTCGCCATTCGATCTTCTACTTCTGTACATCTGCCTTCTTCCGTTCTTTTGGGAGAGTTTGTGCTAAAACAGCCAGACTCCCCGGGAACCCTGAGGTGGGGCGTGTGACGGGAACGGGTTGGGGGAGGAGGGGAAATGAAAGGTGGCTGAGGCAGAATGGAGGGCACAGGGGACGCGGCGGCCTCCAAGTGCACAGTGAGGACCCACAGGAGCTGCCGCCTCCCTCAGCTCACCACCCGGCCTTCTCTTGGGAACCACCTGTCCGGCCTCCGGCAGCACCTGACCCGCAGGAGTCTGGCCAGACCTGCGCCCGCCCACTTACAAACAACGTTCGCGCAAAGGTTGCAGCCCCACCCGCGCCCCCGCGCCGGTCCGCAGGCGAGGCTGCCCGCGGCCGGGCCGAGCCGGCCCTTGGCGAACGGCCCGCGGGCCATCTCGGAAGGTCCCGCGCTGTCCTC